AAAAAAAAATCATTGCTTTGTGCGCAAGTCTGTTAGCCCTCATGACTGAATGTCATTTATATGTGTGTCTTCACAGGGCTTCATACCACCGCTTGTCTATTTTTAAGTCATTACAATGTGTTCCCCTGACAGTGTTGTATTCAGGCTTTAAAAAACTGCACATGCCCAGTAATCACAAGGCAAATCTGTGTGTGTATGTCATGTGTCCGATGCAGCACTTTTCACGTGAGAATGTCAGGACGGTGGTTTAAGTGTGTACCGCAAAGATCTTTATGAATAAAGTAAGCTTGTCTAAATGCATTTCCATTTTACTGTTTTCCTTCGTTTGGGTTGAGAAGGGAAGAAAGACCTCCACCATCAGTCTGAGCTACAGAGCTCTTTACTTTATTTTGCTGTTTTTTTTGTTGGTTTTTTTTTCAGTCATTTATTGTTTTACATTTAAGCAGCTTCTCTTTTATATAGAAAGACAGTTTGACATCATTTACAAGTCACTCTGCTCAGAACCTGTTGTCCCCCCATACAAAAAGGAAACATTGGTCTCCACGTTACATACGAAAATATAATTTAAAAGCACTTGACAACAGACGCACGTTACAATACATTCACTGTACACGGTATATTGAAATCCCTCCCTCATCCCCTCCTTCTGCACACAGCCTCCGCTCCTCCTCTCCCATATGTGTAATACTGCAATTGGCCCCCATGAATAAGCTCAAAATATTGCCATGGTGATAGCGGTGTCTGTGAAGCGAGGATGGTTGTTTTTTTTTACGAGTGTTTGACAGCTAAAATCTCAAGTCTGTCCCTGCTGAGAAAGTCTTCCTGCAACGCTCAAAGGCAGAAATGAAGCTTCATCTACCGTCGGCTCAGGGTTACTTTCAGGGTAGCAGCACCGCAGATGTGCTCTGGCACCAAGATTTTATTTTATTTTTTTAACAGATCTTACACACAGATCTCTTTGAAGCCACATTTGTGCTTGTTTGTTTAGCAGCACACTAACTGAAGGCATTGAAGTACATGTGTGTGTGTGGTGATTGCTATCATACACGGTTATCAAAAAAAAGTGATTAAAGTCCCTATGCCATGCCAAGCCCTTTGGTTACCATGGCAACGGCACACTGGAGGACAGGAGGGTGTGTGCATGTCAGAGGTCACTGTACCCATCAAGTGAACAAAAGAGAAAAGGCTCGAGCTCTGAGCCTGAATAAAACTTTGCGCAAGATGAGGGAAATGATGTAATGAACAAATGTGTCTTGGCGAGCGGCGGCACTGCACCGCTCAGCCTCTTGCAATGAATGATGAAATCCCAGTCAGGGGCAACAAGTTGGCGGCTGCAACAGTACGTGACGCAACGCCGTCAGCCAGCCAGCCAGCCAGCCAACCATCCTGCTCCATAGGAGTCGAACCAGCAGCCTGGCACAGAAACGCAACACATCCGAGCACTGAAACGCACAGAATACAGTAATACTCTCTAGGCTGATGACTTGGATACTGCTGAACACGCACGCGCTCACACATCGCTCGCACACACGCACACACAATGGACTGGAATGCTGTCGTCTACAACACACACAAATGACACGTTGTAGATGGTAATCTCAGATACGAATCCACCCTCCTCCGTCACACCTTATTTTTCTCGTTACCACCGCGTGAAAACATTCTGCTGATGTACATCCACTCATCCCAACATTTTGGAGGTGCGACGAACACAAAAAAAAATCATTGCCACACGTTTGGCGACCTCCAGGGTGAAACTCTCTCCCTCCTCCCCTCCCCCCCCAAAACCCCTCCCTCCCCCACCCCTCCCTCATCAGGCACATGGTATGGTCAATGTTTGGCAGTGGAGAGCTGTTGGCAACGATCATGGAAAACAAAAAAAAACAACTAAACAAAACCAAAACAACAAAGATCTTGGCAACTGGAATACAGTATGATGCTTAACCTAGTTTACGGCTAAGTCTGTGGAGCACAGCTCTGGCACTCTGAATGAGGAAACACTGGAGATATGGATGGTTTTCTGTGGGGATGAAGGATTTTTAAGATATGGACTATTGGTCTGGGCCGTGTTCTCATACGTTTTCTTCCTGATCAACAGTAAAATACCGCACGCAATTCGGAGTGCGACACACCGAACGGAGTGTTAGCTCCTAATCTCTAGGATGTGTGAGAGAAAACTCAACTCTCTGAACTTAAAGTCAGCCAGCTGTTTGGCCTTGACCTCTGAGGTGACAAAACTGGCCGTCTCAGCAAATAAGGAATGAAAGGAACACTTACTGATACATAGAAAAAAAACAAAAAAAAGAAAAAACACTGAAGTCTAAACACTGACAAAAAAATATATAAAATAAAGCTTGAAAATAAAGTGTAACTATTTATGTATATGCTCATGAATACTTTTATATATTTTTATGTACACATACATATCTGTCTATTGTTTATATATCAATATATCTATTTAAAGTATAACTTAACTCTCGCGCTTACACCCCCAGAAGTGACTGTTAAGGCACAGATGTAAGCTCAGCTGGACTCTGCAGTTAACGGAAACGGAGTGTAACAACTACTGAGCTTACGTCAGCACTAAGAGTCGACTTCATCCTACTCGCGTACGAGCACTTGGTTGCACTTCTTGTTCCACATCTCCTTCTTTTACGTTTCGCCTGTCTTCTTTCGTTTGTTTTTTTGTCTTTTCTTTCTGTTGTTTTTTACAGTTAGCACCTTATGTAAGTCAAACAATAGAAAAAAAATAACGTGATAGCATATACGAATGTGCAAATGTACATCAATAAAAATACTACAAAGATACTTTTTTTTTCCAAAAATACAAGTGATATAACATGGATAGAAAAAAAAAAATTATGTAACACAAATAAAAAGATGACCAAAAAAAAAAAAAAGAAAAAAAGAAAACAACTTAAAGCATGCACTTGATCCTTTAGTGTGTGGGATAGGTAAGGTAAAAGTCAGGATAGGGCTATGTTTGGGGTAGTTGATTGGTGCGACCACAGGCTCTAGCCTTGGATCTTGCGCAGGATCTCGGTGGAGACGGGCGGGTGGAAGTTGATGGTGTGGTGTCTCAGGCCCTGCGAGGTCTTGTAGCTCTTTCCACAGCGACATTTGAAGGGTTTCCTCACACGAATCTGTGTGCGGTGGCCGTTCTTGGCGTGGTATTTGATACCATTCACATTCTGATGAAGCGCAGGATGCAGGTAGAGGGTGAGAGAGACAGAGGAGAAGGGTTACAATTACTGCTTGCGCCTATGCGCACTTTGCATTCAATATAAACACCACAGCATTATTACTGTAATTTCCGGACTATAAGCCACTACTTTTTTCACGCGCTTTGAACACTGCAGCTTAAACAATGACGCGGCTAATTTATGGATTTTTCTAATTTGCCTCGAGACGCAAGTGACGTTGAGAGCGACAATGAAAGAAAGTCTGAAGAAGTGTGTGACGAAGTAATTCTGAGGCTGTTCAATTCCGACACTAAAGAAGACGACTTGGTGGTTTTAGTGCGCAGGAGGAAGATGAAGATAGCGATCAATGACTTTTCCTGGTAGGCTACTATATATATATATATCTTTTTTTTCTTTTTTTTAACCAGCTGTGTTACAGGCACTGTTTGGAAAAAAGCATTTACGTATTTGTGTACATTACCAGTACGTATTTAATTAAAAGTTTTAAAAAAATCTTTCTGTGTAACATATTTCTGTGTAAACATCTCATGCTGCAACGTGGACACCTGTGGCTTATAGACAAGTGTGGCCTATATATGTACATTTTTTTTTTCTTTTTAAAGTCAGTGGGTGTGGCTTATATTCAGTTGCGCTCAATAGTCCGAAAACTACAGTACCAATCTTGCAGAATTCAGACGAAGCTAATTTACCCCCCTCGAATGCAGGAGATTCAAGCACAACACAATTGACAAAATTATCCACATTTGAGTCCATGCATAGAGATGAGGGCTAATGTCTCATGCATCATACACAGAAGGTAGAGAATTCACTTGTGTTATTGCACAATTCAGAATTTGTTCTTAGAATCTGGAGAACAGCTCTTCGAGGCTACCTCGAACGCCATCATAATTAAACCTCCATCACTCTCAAAGTGGAATTTATACGCTGACAGAACAAAATGGGACAAATACCCAACCCCAATCCCGCAACTAAGGTCGGGACATTCCCGTTTGCATGTTTTCTTAACAGATCATAAACGTAATTAAGGTGGAGTCTGAGATTCTGGAGCTGACATTTAGCTAGTTTGCATATTTAGATTATTGCATAACTGTTCCCACTGACCACTTTCCCTCCATCTTCCCCTCCCCTTCTGCTAAAATATGCACAAGCATGAGCGTGCAGATGACACAGACAAGACAAGTAGCAGACTATAAGGAGATATTTACTGAATCTGACAAAAACTGTGTTTGTTTAGAATCACATGCTCAACCTTTTAAAGTCATCACTGCAGTTTTTACACGCGAAAGCATGACAGATTAAATTTAGTGAACAATTTTTAAAGCCCAGACCACCAGCAGGTTTAGAATGTGATTTAAAAGCTCTCCACAACTTTTAGACATTTGTGTCTGATGGATTTTAATAGTTGATCTACAGGTTAACAGTGTTATCAGGTAAAAGGTTCAGTTTGATAAGTACTTTAGTTAATGACCATCCGCAGTGCAAATGACGCACACGGTAGCTGGCGTTCAGCGAATGCTATCATGCTGAAATACTAAACTAACTTCTTTTAAATCAGTGTTGTGCCTAAACACAGTTTCACAAAGCTGCTAGCATGATTGTAGATTCTTAGTCCAGTTCTATCAAAGTTAAACAATCTCAAAAATCTGTATTATCCTCATTAAGTAACACCAAATGTGGCTTTTCCCATGTTGCTGTTTTGGTCTGAAAAGAGCACTGAAGAGTAATGTTCCCACACTGCCCATTAGTTAAGCTGGGACAACGAGCTGAATGAGGTTTTTGTTATCAGCCACGATACAAATCAAATAAACCATGATATATTTATCACAGCTTCTAATCACGACATTCTGGATTTCTAATGTGCTTTTTCAAACATTATGTCCAGCCATGTGATACACAAACAAAAGCTCCAGTGTGGACTTCATCAGAAACAAAACCTCAAGTCCTGTGGCTATGTGGAACTGACTTGTCCGTTTTTCTGGTCTGGTCTCACCTTGTATCTCTTCTTACAACCGGGGACGGGGCAGGCGAATGGCTTCTCCTCTCCCCCATTCATGCACATGGAGCTGAGGATGGACTCAGAGCTGATGGCGCTTTCTGTGGTCCACGACTCATCGCTGTCCGACTCCTCGTAGTCTACCTCCTCCTCATCATACTCACTGCCTGAAGGCACAATGGAGCCACGCAGAACAAAAAAAACCACTTGTCATCCCAGATGAAATATAGAGGGGGACATAGCCAAGAGGACATCATGCTTTGGGAATTTACGAAACACAAAACGATATGTGACTTTTTATTAATACATTTCTCTGTATTCTGCTTCAATGTAGATGCATTAGCTGTCCTCATGTCACTGGAAGCAGACGAAACGGAAGTGGTGCGCATGTGTATGTGCTTCTGTGTTCCTGTGAGTCAAAATGCAGGGATTGGCACCGAGAAAGAGATCATTAAGTGGGAGTGATCCCCATTGCTCAGCCTGGAAAATGTGCTTTGCTAAGTGCAGAACATTTTCCACTC